TATTAATAAATGGTTGATGGTGAGGAATTTGTCAGTACTTCAGATGGAAATTCATTGGAAACTACGTCAGTAAAATTAGTGGTCTTAACAATTAGCATCAAATACGTGAGGCTGTAAAGTGATGAGTTGAAGATAAAGGATAAGATGTTAGAGACGTGAAATTGATAAAATAGCTTAGTTATCGCTATAAAAAAAATAATCAACCTTTTTTTTCAACACAAGAATGTGTAAATCCATTGGGAAGAAGTGGAAGTTGCATCAATATCAGAGATTGTGGACCTCTCATTGAAATTCTGAGGAGAGACGGAAATTCGGCTGGAGACTTTTTGAGACGTTCAGTGTGTAGATTCGAGGGTTCAAATCCTATTGTCTGTTGTCCAAGTGGCAATGGAGAATTTCGTAACAGAAGTACTACTCATACGACCATACCTACATCTCAGCGAGATTCGACATACTTTCCGATTTATCCACCAGTATGTGGTACTCCAATGGCTAATATTGAGGTTCCCAAAGTTGTTGGGGGTGTACCAGCTAAATTGGGTGAGTCTACAAAATCGTATCTCCTTTAAATTTCATGTAGTATGTCCTTTGAAGAATAAACTGAATTATTATTGTCCAGATAGCTTTAACCATAAATTAATAATAGACGGAAAAAGGTCACCAGATTCAATATAAAGAGGGAGAGAGATAAATATGAATACTTATTCAATGTTAATTAATACTGTCAATGATCAACTGCTTCCGCAGGTGCTTGGCCTTGGATGGCAGCCCTGGGATACCGTTCTAAAACATCATCAAACAAACCAAGATGGCTTTGCGCTGGAAGTCTAGTATCATCTCGTCATGTCATAACAGCAGCTCATTGTGTACATCGTCTCAATGATCTCTATTTAGTACGTTTGGGTGATCTTGATCTCGATGATAGTGTCCCGGATGGTGCGAATCCCATTGACATTCCCATTGAACAAGTTCATGAACACCCCCAATACAGTGATGTTCAGTACACTAATGACGTAGCTGTATTGAAATTGGCATGGGATGTTGAATTTTCCGGTAATTAACATTTTTCAGATCAACCTGCAATATTTACTTATTCATTATGCATAATGTAAATAAATAATTACATACAATTTAATGACAGATTTGATTCGTCCAATATGTTTGCCGTTGACCGAAGAAATTTATAATACGGATTTTACTAATGCTTTGCCATTTATCGCTGGATGGGGATCTGTTTATTTTCGTAAGTATAAGTTGATTATATTATGCTGCAAACAATTTATTATTGTTTTTTCGTTAATAGGAGGACCTAGTGCTAGTCATCTTCAGCAACTTCAAATGCCTGTAGTTGATACAGAAACGTGCAAAACCGCGTTTACCCGTTTTAAAAGTACAGTAATTGATGAGCGAGTTCTCTGTGCGGGCTATCGGAGAGGTGGTAAAGATGCTTGCAAAGTAAGAGATGACATTTTTTTATTACAAGTCATTAGACAATTGAAGTGAGGCATCATTTTAATTAAAAAGTTTTGTTATATCTCGATTGTTTTAGAAAATAATGGATTTTTACTGGTGAAAATACAGTTGTTCAATTCAATCGTGATAATGTTAAATCAAAATGATGTCTTCTTCATTTATTTATTCAATATATTCATAACAATATCAAAATTTCAGGGAGACAGTGGGGGCCCGCTAATGCATCCAAGACACAAAGTTTTTTATATAATTGGTATAGTCTCATTTGGTTATCGGTGCGCCGAACCCGAAATCCCGGGTGTATATACAAGAGTAACGCAATTTCTTGATTTCATAAAGTCTCATTTGAATTAAATATGGCAATTTGTTTTATTCGTCCAGAGTGGAAAGAGACAAGGAATTAGTTCATTGAACGTCGACAAAGTATAATTAATTCCATAATTACTTCTTGGTTAAACGGTAAGGATTAGATCGAATTTACAAAAATTAAATAAAAAAAAAATTAACACCTCAAAATTCTTCATTATTTGTTACTTTTTATTTAATAATTTTGACAATTGCTTTAGGTGGGTTCTACTATAGTAGAATTTCACTGTTTACATTTAAGTAATGGCGTTTGTGTTCGCACAGTCAATAAGTGATGCAGAGGAAAATTTGCGAAGACTGATGATGATTTAGGGACGTATCAAAGAGGATGACTGAAGTAGTGGTTCAGTTTGGGGGGTTGGGGTGACCCCAGCGGTATCGTAGTACAGACAATTACCAAATCAGCTGATGACACCCCCATTGCGTGTGGCACCCTCTCTTCCTTGGGGTGAGGTACTACAATGCTGGTGGGGTCACTCAATCTGAATGGAACACATTTCATTGACGTATACACTGTATATTATCCAGTAGATGTCGCAATGCGTTCTCTAGTAAATGTGCACGCTTTTCGGTCGTTCAGTTTGAACAGAATCAGAATTCTGCTAAATCCAGTGGCCATTTATCCTCTGATTAATTGCATCTCACCATTCAGTGC